AATTGCCTTTTAGAATTGATCTTCCAAAGTATACATTATCCTTTTTCATAAGGAAATTAGATCAGCATTTCAGCATTTTTGGTTGAATTTTGAACAGAAATCATAGCAAGTTCTTAAACGTGTATTTCCTATTTATTATATATGACATATACTTAGATAAAAACCTATTATCAGAGACCATATCTTCCCATTGTATTTGCCTTGTGGTTCTGCCTCACACTCACTTGTCCCAATAAATCACACTTTCTGTCCCATTTAAAATTACTTCTATGACTTTGTATTTTGAAGTAAAATGTATAAACTTTAGTGCTAGACAAGAATGGAGAATCAGATATGGGTATTAGGCCCAAATAATTATATTTATTTTAATTTCTTAGGATATTTATGATATCTAATAGCACAAATTAAATGATACTCATATTAATTCTCACTGGGTGTCCTTAATTTTTTATTTACACATTTGTTTCTAAGGCCAAAATTCTTGAATATTATCTAGATGAATTTACACTCAAGAAGTATCAAAAGTCAGAATGTGCAAATAATTTCGGGGGGGGGGGAGGAGGAAAAAAGGCAACTAATTCTTCATTTTAGATCTGTCCCAATGTGCAACATTATTTTCAGTACAATATACTAGGATCAGACAAGGTACCTTTTAATTACCTTAAAAGTTTCACATGGCAAGCAGAGATAATAAAAGATCAAACTCTAAATACATGTAGTTGAGAAGCAGGAGCGAGCAGAGATCATCCAACACACAAATCCCAAATCTCTGTATATAAGCAATAAACCAAAAAACTCTAGCAGAAAAGGTAGAGCAGAAATCATTTTCAGTCCCTCCCCAAAATTCAGAATATTCAAGATAATCAAACTAGCTTGAAAAACTGCTAGAGAACAATCCACATGCACTTTTCTATACTTTACTGATGATTTCCTGTATCAAGCATGCAGTCGCTTCAGCTGCACAGAAATGAACGTGCAGTCTGTCTACCGGCGGGTTAAGGAGCAAGTTGAAGGATATGTACAAAGCCACCTACCATTGTCACTGTCTCCTTCAGATGGAACGCTGTAGCTAGAGCTGTCCCATGTTTGTGCCTGTGTAAGTTTGTTGAAGGAGATAGGAGGAAGAGTGAGGGCTGGGTCTGCAGGAGAGCGAGAGAGCCAGTCCACGTGTAGTTGCACAAGGACCAGGAAAAAACCAAAGGGGCAGCAGCATTGCACAAATGGCATAAGGGTTGTATGGAAATGAAGCGGATTTCATTTATATGGGATTAATTTTAATGTACAATATAGGAGAAGCATGAAAGATGGTGCATGGAATAAAAAGAATGATAAAATTGAGTATTAGTACTTCTCAATCATAGTTGGCATGCAGTTAATATTGTTAATCGTAACAGTTTCGCAAACCCACCAATTTAAAGTACTAATGAAAACAGGTCAGTTGGCAGAAAGAAAGAGTACCCATCGATTACATAGATAAAAAGCATAAAGAACTACTAGATACCCTTTTCAAAGACTTTCCAAGTAACTAATACTCTTAAGCAAATAGCTTCACACAAAAAGTTTGATTATATAAGCTACGATACAGGTGGAAATCTATCTCTTATTTAGAAACAAAACTATTATAGAATCAGTATTTGTCATTCAAGATTTTTTTCCCCCCAAGGAAATGTAAAATTTCCCTTTAAAGACATGTATAAGTCTACTGGCATGTTTTATTGGTCACTGACTCTAGACAATTCTTTCCTCAACTCTTTGATACACAGACCTCTCAATATTGTCTTTGATTCTGGTTAATACAGAAATAATTTTGACATTAGCAGAGTCTCTTTAACAACAAACCCAATCAACCACTGGATGTCAATTAAGAACCTCTGAGTTGGTTATTTATGAAACGATAACATCATTTTATTGGATTAAATATCCATATAGTGATTTCATGTGTTTAGGAGATTACTACTATAATTTTTGATTCAATTGTAAGGCAGGGCTAGTAAAATAAATGCATGTGATTCTAGGAATGAATATTGGGCATGTTCAATTTTCTTTCTTTCAGGGTCAAAGAATACAAAAAAAAAAGTTTCTTTAATGAAAACTATCAGGTAACTTTCAGAATCTAAGTTCTTCCAACTCTGTTTATTATTAATAACAGAGAAATCACGTAAATCCACATACTTAATTTTAAAATAAAAACTAATTGGCTGTTAAAAATTCCAGAGCTACTGCATCAAAAATGGTTTTTGTCTTTCTTAATCATATGTTCCTCTGTAAATATATTATTTCCTAGAAAATGTGAAAAACACATGCTGTAATTATTTCTAAAGTACTAAATAAAATGAAGCCATCTAATAATATTTCACCTGATGTTACTGAAGATAAATTAATATTATTTACAGCAACAAAGGAGACAGAGCTTTCAACAACCAGTCCAATTTCCATATCAATTAGCATTATAAAAAGGTAGGAAGTTTGTAGAGGAAATGATCTTTGTTTTCTGCTGTGTAAAATAAATACTTCATTTATTTTTCACCACTACAAAGAATTTGAAATGGTTTGACAGAGCAAGTAAACTGTAAGCCCTAACTTTGATGAGCTGAGTTTAGACTATAGTATAGACTATAAAAGGAATAAAAAGGTCACTGAAGTAATTTCAGAATTGAATTACAAAAATGCACATTCAAAAGAATGTCATTCTTTGGAGATTTATTTCATTTTTTATTTGATCAATATGAATATATTTTTAAATGGTGTAGAATGTCTGTAAGGATTAGAAGAAAGTCAGTAGCACAATTGGAAGTTCTTGGCTTACAGAGATCACTCTCCCAGCACCCCATTACTGAAGGCCTGGATGAGGGATGCCCAGTCTGATCTCCATTTCTCCCAGCACCAACCTGACTCTGTGGAGGTGGAAGCACTGCCCAGAGCACACTGCCCAGCTCAGGTCACAGGTGCTCAGTGCTCTAAATGAGGTGGCCAGCATTTGAGCCTGGTTTCATGTGCCATTTGGCTCTCCATAAAACACCCACTAGCCCTTGGAACACACAAACATTTTCTCAAATGGCTTTGCCTCAGGGTGTGTTAAAATTTTATGAAAACATTATTCCTGGCCACAATCAATCAACTTGCTCCAAGAATAAAAATTTTAAAACTTCCTTTTTAAAGAAGCATCTTCTGGTTTGTTTTGCTATGTATATTTTCACTACAGTAAAAGAATAAAAAAAGCACAGACTAGTAAAAAAAAAGTGTCAACTCTGTTCTTTCTCTATGAGTACCTTTCCTAAAAATATACACATATATAACTTCAGCTGTTGCCAAAATGCTTTACTGAAAAACCAAAGAGCATATAAGTTTCTGATTAGCTTTACTTTAAAGAGACTGACTTCTTTAATAGAATTTGCTTAAAAGCATTAGTAGTGAGTGTATGTCAAACACCAAAGAATCAAAAAGATTATTAAAGGATTTTATAAATAGTACCAGAACTTGAGATAAAAGAAAAAGAACCATATTTCTGTGTTCAGTCCTTCTTTCTAAAATCAATAATTATTTTGCACATTGCTATAATTTACTTTTGTGAATATACTAATATTAAATTACAGGTAGGTACTATTAGCAGAATGATTTCACAAAAGTCTTTATGACTCCTGGTCACACAAACAAGCCTTGAAATGATCACCCTGTTATGTGAGTAACTCCATGGAACCCACCAGGATCAGAAAGCAAATGAGGGCTGGCTCTGAAAGCAGTCAATCTCCTAGAGGCTGCCCCAGGAATGACTGGGGTGAAAACCTCAATAGACTATTTCTTCTCCACTTAACCTGAGGAATGGAGTTTAATTCTCCTGGAATCTAGATTTTTGGTTTCCATGGAAGTAGGAGGACCTACCCAGAATATTCTGCCCTCAGATGGTCTTTTGAACCTTGAGCCTTGAGAGAACTCATTTCCTAAAGTCACCTTTGAGTCAAAACAGTCTAGATAAATTAGTAGTAAAGACCATTTTGCACCTTGTGCATTGGGCTCTTTTGAAGAATCATCTATGCGCCATCAGTTTTGAGAAACAGAAACTCCAAGAACAGACTAGATGCTGTGTTTCAGGGTAAACTGTTGTGTAAACACTGTTCTGGCTCCATTTCCATGGCAACGCCAATACAATGGGGTATAAGAAACTTTGGAAGTTCCTTCTTCTTTGGAACATTTTGACTCCCTAGCTGAAATGCTATTCTAATTTGCAGATCACATATTAAATAAACTTTCATCAATTTCTATTATTGGCTTATTATGGTATGTTTTTACCACCTTTTCTTTTTTTTTTTTTTCTATGTTCTGATTCCAAAAGAGGTAGTCCATTACTGAAAATGAGGACTAAACAGCTGACCTGCTAAAAACAAAGCTCTCAAATCTAGACTTCCCAAGCTGTAGCAAGATTCTAATGCCAGGATTCAAACTCGCCAGAGCTGACAAGGATGTTCGCACTAATAATCAAGTAGAAATTTATAAGGCTAATTAATGAGAAACCACTCAGCTCTTTGTTTCAAGTGTAAAAACTGGCTCAGGGTGTATTTTACCTGATCGAGGCTTCAGGCCAAATGGAGCTGTGCTATTTGTAGTAGGAGAGACTGCAGGAGAATTCTCACTCATCTGTGGAGTTAGAAGGAAAAGAAGTTAAAACAGTAGAGCAGAACCATGCATGTTTCTCTGAGTTCAGGGATTATCATACAATCTTGACAATTTTTGCAGTTTCTGCTGGGTGATAAAGTCCTGGCTAAAGGATACAATAGACACATTTTCAAATGGCAAATGTTTACAGTGGCAAAATAATAATAATAATAATAAATATGTTGCTTTTGTTGAGATTTGTTCAATTTTTTATTTGCTCATGATAAAAATGTTTTACGATCATGCAAAACTGGCAACCCTTTTCTCCCCCAGCACAGGGCTGGGTGTGTGGGGTGGTGTGTGTGTGTGTGTGTGTGTGTGTGTGTGTGAGCACTGAAGAACTCATACACATAAAACATACACAAACACCTACATCCAAAACTGGGCACAAGTGATGAAGACTCCTACCACTATGAAATGAGGACACAGGTAACACTGAACAGATGTCTCCTCTATAAGGAATCCACACACTGAATCATTTATGGGTAACAAGACATTCTAAACATTGCCTATCACAGCTATTTTCATTCTTTGTAAGACAAAGCCACTCTACAAATAGGTTCCCACATTTGTTTTTTAAAAAAATATATTTTCTAAAAAATTAATCTTTAATTACGATTAGGGGCAGCTGAGGCTTATGAAAGCTAATGAGGGTAAGATGGATTCTGAAAGAATCTGCAATACTCCATTAACTGATCAATCACCACAGTGTCAGATTCTGCCTTGCTGTAAAAGACACTCCAATTCAGCCAACATGAAATACACCTCAGCTTCCCTCCAGCTTCAGGAGACATACCTCATTTGGAGAATACTGGCTCCCATTACTCTGTGATGTTAGATCATTCTGCACCTTAAAGAAGGAAAACAGGGTGTGATACGTTCCACCGAACTGTAAGCTGAGGTTAACAACTCTAGTTTTCTTGCTTTCATCATACCCGTGGCCCGTAGGCACACAATGAAGAGACATTAATTAATTATTATATTAAGTAGCCAAGTAGACCATATTTCCATTTGTAAAAATATAAAGCTGTCTTCATGGAAAAGCCTACCTGAACTACCACAAAACCTAAGATAAGGGATGCTCCGGAGCAGAGTTCAGTCCAAAGCACCTCACTGTGAAGCTGCGAGGTTCCCAAACTGCCTACTGCCCCTACCCGCCATCTCCTGTTTTCATCATAGATTTTTAGAAATAGTCCCAAATACACAGAATCACATCAGGAGCTTTTAATAAATGCCTGTATCTGGACCCCACATTACCTGGGCAAATCTCAAGCTATCAGCTCAATATCAGTTTGCTTTGGCAACTACCACGAGTTAAGAAGGAACTCTGGTAGCTTAGTGTCTAAGGCACTTGACTGCTAACCAGGAGGCTGGTGATTCAAACCCACCAGCCACTCCTCGGAAGGAAGATGGGGCAATCTACTTCCATAGTGATAACTGCCTCGGAAACCCAAGGAGGGGTCGCTATGAGTTGGGCTGACTAGACCGCACATAGCAACAACAACGACAAGTTAAGAGAAAGATGTCAGAATGTCTTTAAAGCAGAACATGCAGGACTTGGAACGGGTCACTGAGGAACAGCCAGGACATCCAGGCTTCCAGTGGAAGGGACTGGGGTAGGTGGTGGTGCCACTAAGTACCACAGGGAGTATGGGAGCTGATCACGAGGGATATTGATAGCCTCAGTTTAGCCATGCTGAGAATGACAAACTTAATGGATGGAGATGAAAAGGTCCAGCAGGCCCTGGGACATACATATCTGAATACTGGAGGCTGGGATTTGAGGCATTAACTATAGATTTGGAAGGCACTGTAATTTATAGGGTGGCTGAGTCTACCAGGTATTCCAGGAAGGAGAAGAACAGTGACACAGGGCAGAATCCTAAGGAAAAACAGGAACAACAGGAGAGGGGATCCTAACCAGCACACCCTAGCTTATTTTGTGCAGCTCTGCTTTCTTCTTGGGGACTCTGGGTAGTGTAACTGGTTAATGTGCTCAGCTACTAAGCAAAAAGCTGGAAGTTCAAGGCCACCTAGATGCACCTCAGAGAAAAGGTCTGGCAATTTACTTCCCAGACAAACATGCTATAAAGGACATTACTGTATCAAGTGACAAATTTGAAATATGGATTAAAATATCCTATCAGTATAAATTTATGAGACTGATAAATGGAATATTATTGTATGTAAGATAAAATCCAGCTTGTTAGGAAACACACACTGAAATATTTCAGGTTTATGAAATTTAGCCTCAAATGATACAGAAAAAGAAAAAGAAAACTGTGTATGTGTGCATGTTTATATATAACAGGGAAGAGGAGAGGAAGAGAGAGGGAGAGAAGAAATGATAGGGCAAATGGTAAAATAGGTTTAAAAACAACAAAAAAGAGGAGCTCTGGTGGCATAACAGTTAAAGCACTTGGCTGCTAACCAAAAGGTTGGAGCTTCGAACCCACCAGCCACTCCACAGGGACAAGGTAAGGCAGTCTGCTTCTGTAAATACTTATAGCCTTGGAAACCCTTGATGCAGTTCTACTCTGCCATATACAGTCACTATGAGTTGGAATCAACTCAGTGGCAGCAGGTTTGGGTTTTAGGATAACAGGTAAATGACATATGGGTGCTCCTTATTTTTATTTATTTTTTCCCCTCAAACTTTTGTAAGTTTAAAATTATTTCCCCAAAAAACGTAGGTCTGCATAGAATCAAAAGCAGCCTGTCTCAAATCGAGACAATGGTGAAATGAGCCCAGGGCTGTCTGCAAACAAAGGGCTACCTGCTGCTTCATTGATGGGTAAGGCAGTGATGCCTCCACTCATGGAAAGGGCTGGAGCACTGACTTTGCCTGAAGACCACTGCCAAAAACAATAATAGAGTGGGAGAGTAACAATAGCAGTTAACATTTATTGGATGCCCTGTGTTGTAAGATCTTTCTTGAATGATCTCATTTAATCTTTATAACTGGTATTATTGTCATCTCAATTTATGGAAAATGAAGGTAAGGCTTTGAGAGGTTAATTAACTTGCCCATGTACAAACAACAAATATGAACCCCTTTGTAAATACAATACTGAGTTGTCAATGAAAGCAAACATGGGTATAGGGACGGATAGATGGGTGAACAAGCTAAACAATTATGT